ATTTTATATATATATATATATATATATATATATATATATATATATATATATATAGATTGTAGTATGCATATTTATTTGGAATGGAATACTGGTGTACTGTTCATTATTGGCATCTATGGTTCCATAAAGAACTCCATGAAATCTTTCCATTGCACAAAATGTTCTTTATAGTGGGGGAAAAAAAGTTTCTTTATATTATTAAAATGTTCTTTACAAAAAAAAGGTTATTTGGGGAACCCAAAATGGTTCTATGACATTGCTGCGAAACCCCCTTTTTGAACCTTTATTTTTAAGTGTGTATTGCCTGAATACCAATTTGAACAGAATAGCAAGAAAACAAATAATGAATCATCACAAAATGTACATTACAAACAAAACAAAAATATTTTTAAACAATTGTGTTCTTTGTTGTTGTGGCATTACCTCATTAAATATATTGCAGGTTTTATTCAAAGAATAAAATCCACTTATCATATTTTGTGTAAAATACGTTTTATGATATATAAATAAAATGAGTGAAGAAAGATGTTAATAATCATGGGTGATATTCAATCGTCATTCATTCATCAGTTCATTTGTCAAACTGTAAGGTTGATTGTATTGCATTATGGGATACATTTAGGCAAAAGTAATAGAAAATTTGACTGTAAACAGTATGCATACTGCAAAAATGTAATTAGTAGTTTGGTGGCAGTGTTTGTTATTGTTAACTAAAACTATTAAAAATAGGTAACTTAAATTAAAACATAAATATTAAATTAAAAAACTGAAAAATTGATTTTAAAAATTAAATAAATAAAATTGAATGAAAATTAGAAATGTTGCCTTGAAAAGTAAATGAAATGTTTACTGAAATTACTATAACTTTTTTTATATATATATAAAGCTTATTAGAAATGTTTAAAAAATAATAATGAAAATGAATAAAAAGCACACAACAAAATGACTAAAACTTAAGCAAAACTTCAAATGAAAACTGAAAATATAAAAATAAAAGCCAAGTCAAAATATGAATACTATAATAGTATATAAATAATACTAAAATAACACCGTGGTAGTTTGCTATTCTAAACATTGTGCCATTGAGCACTATACAAAGTATAATATCTACAAGTATATACAGTAGTCCTATGCATTAGTGCCTTAATGGCAAGGACACTCACTCTTTTTCCTCTGTTGATGTAGGAATCAGCCCAGGTCAGGAGTTCACTGCTGTAATTCATGCCACCTCACCTCTGGTCTCCCAGTCTCAGCCAATCATGAAGCTCCTTCAGGTCGTCTCCAAGTCAAAATACTGCTCACAGGTACTGCACTGTCAGTATTTATCTCTACAATATTAATCTCTACAAACATAAAGTAGCACCTGTTGCACCACTAAGGAATGACCTTTTGTTCAATGATATCAATGCAGATCCACATCAGTTAAGTGTTAATATAGTTGGACACTGAGAAAAGCCAACAAGACACATCAACCAGTTTGGTGTGCATGCTGTGATAGTGTGTGCTCTTGTTTGGGTTTCTTGTCAGATCATCATCCTGTGGAACAGTGAGAAGCCGCCCCCTCACCGGAGTAAATGGCCGCCTATGCCAGTGCCCCTTATCATCACAGATGGAAGAAGGAAAGTGAGTATTCAAGTGAGAGAACAGTCAAGTCATGTCTGTGAGCTGTGGCGAGATCTTGTGCTCTCTCACTCAGCTCTTTTCTCTGCCACCTTCTGTGTTCACAGACAAGCAGCCGTTTCCTGCCACATGCAGCTATTGAGACAGAGGCAGTTTTGAGCCTGGATGAAGACACAGTGCTGTTGACCAGCGAGGTATAGAGTCTCACCTTCATCCTGCACATTTTTATTATTTATTATACTTTCATTTATTTATTAAAATTATCATCATTTTGTTTTTAATATTGCATTTGACAAGTCCTGACAAGTGCTCCAGTCCCTGCTGCAGAGAAACACCCCCATAACGGGATATTACCACATCCATGCTTTACTGTAGGAATGCTGTTATTTGGATGGTGGATTTCTGCCAGACATATCTTCTGGTGTTGAGGCCAAATAATTCAACTTTAGTCTCATCTGCCTCAGAATCTTTTGGTGTGTTTTGGCAGAGCTCAGGCATGACTGCATGTGGCCTCTCTTGAGGAGTAGCTTTTTTCTTGCAACCCTCCCGTATTAAATAAATAAAATTGAATGAAAATTAGAAATGTTGCCTTGAAAAGTAAATGAAATGTTTACTGAAATTACTATAACTTTTTTTATATATATATAAAGCTTATTAGAAATGTTTAAAAAATAATAATGAAAATGAATAAAAAGCACACAACAAAATGACTAAAACTTAAGCAAAACTTCAAATGAAAACTGAAAATATAAAAATAAAAGCCAAGTCAAAATATGAATACTATAATAGTATATAAATAATACTAAAATAACACCGTGGTAGTTTGCTATTCTAAACATTGTGCCATTGAGCACTATACAAAGTATAATATCTACAAGTATATACAGTAGTCCTATGCATTAGTGCCTTAATGGCAAGGACACTCACTCTTTTTCCTCTGTTGATGTAGGAATCAGCCCAGGTCAGGAGTTCACTGCTGTAATTCATGCCACCTCACCTCTGGTCTCCCAGTCTCAGCCAATCATGAAGCTCCTTCAGGTCGTCTCCAAGTCAAAATACTGCTCACAGGTACTGCACTGTCAGTATTTATCTCTACAATATTAATCTCTACAAACATAAAGTAGCACCTGTTGCACCACTAAGGAATGACCTTTTGTTCAATGATATCAATGCAGATCCACATCAGTTAAGTGTTAATATAGTTGGACACTGAGAAAAGCCAACAAGACACATCAACCAGTTTGGTGTGCATGCTGTGATAGTGTGTGCTCTTGTTTGGGTTTCTTGTCAGATCATCATCCTGTGGAACAGTGAGAAGCCGCCCCCTCACCGGAGTAAATGGCCGCCTATGCCAGTGCCCCTTATCATCACAGATGGAAGAAGGAAAGTGAGTATTCAAGTGAGAGAACAGTCAAGTCATGTCTGTGAGCTGTGGCGAGATCTTGTGCTCTCTCACTCAGCTCTTTTCTCTGCCACCTTCTGTGTTCACAGACAAGCAGCCGTTTCCTGCCACATGCAGCTATTGAGACAGAGGCAGTTTTGAGCCTGGATGAAGACACAGTGCTGTTGACCAGCGAGGTATAGAGTCTCACCTTCATCCTGCACATTTTTATTATTTATTATACTTTCATTTATTTATTAAAATTATCATCATTTTGTTTTTAATATTGCATTTGACAAGTCCTGACAAGTGCTCCAGTCCCTGCTGCAGAGAAACACCCCCATAACGGGATATTACCACATCCATGCTTTACTGTAGGAATGCTGTTATTTGGATGGTGGATTTCTGCCAGACATATCTTCTGGTGTTGAGGCCAAATAATTCAACTTTAGTCTCATCTGCCTCAGAATCTTTTGGTGTGTTTTGGCAGAGCTCAGCACATCTGTGGAGAATCTGTTATTGTAGTCACATGCACACAATGACCACTCTTTGTCATAAATTCCTGTAACTGCTTGTTGCTGTAGGCCTCTTGGTCGCCTCTCTGACCAGTTTCCTCCTGGCTCTTTCATCCAGTTTGGAGTGACTTCTTGATCCAGGGAGGGTCTGTGTTGTACCAAATACCTTCCACTTCTTAATAATAGACTTGACTGTACTTCTAGGCATTGATAAAGCCTTTGATTTTTTTTGTATCCATCTCCTGACTTGTGCCTGTCCACAACTTTTGAGGCAGTGACA